GACCGACTTCCTCGAAGGGCTCTTTTCGCACAACCACGTGAAGGGTGGAAGAGAGCCAGAGGCGGTCAAACAATGACTTGGCAGCTAAGTATGAAAGCCATTGCCAGCAGACTCAGCTGCGCTGGTAATTGCCATCTTCCTGGATGGGGACTCCGAGACGGGCCACATCAATGGCTAGGGACATTATCAGACATGGCCCAGTCGCGCCCTCAATGGCGCTCGTGCATCCAAGCTATTGTCTTCAATGCATAGCTCCTTTTCCAACCTTCCTTCACTTGACAGCCAACTGACAGTGCTGAATTTATGAACGAACCAGTTCATCATCTCCAGCCTGCAGTGCACAGCTACCTCCCCCTCCCCCCAAATCATCGGTGAACGAAACTACGGCAGCTACAACCACGGTACGACGAGTACGCGGTTATTACAGCTGATAATGATGATGATGATGATGAAGTGGTTGGACTGCAAACCTCAAACTAACTACAAGATGTACGAGGAACGGTGCCATTTTTTGAAAGCGGAAGGATGTGGGGTTACTAGGTCATACGGAACTTACAATGAGACTGACGCTGTACAAGTTGACAACATTATCGGCCAATAGTAACGTGGACTAGTGAAAACCGTTCTCCAGTCCATCAACTGATTTTTTCACTGAAGGCGAACTCGGGTTACGGTTATCCATTTATCGACGCTCTGTTTTCGTCAATACTGCAAAAAAAAAAACGGACCAACCTCAGCCATCGCCTAGCCAATTAGATAGTGGACCAATCAGAAGCGAGCTTGTCTGAACGTCGGATGAAGCATGTGAGAATCGGCTCTGTATGCTGTCCATAATCCAATAAAACCCATGTTTTCACATTGGCGAACGGAGAGTTCCGCGGATTGAAGCGGTTACGGGAAACAACATCAACAGCATTTATACTACTGCTACTATTATTATCGTTCGTTTTTGAAGAGCATTGGTTGCATATGAAAGATTTAGCTGATAATCAGTTGAGCCTTCTGTTAACACCAAGCTAATATACACATGAGTGTGCGAATCCACATTACCATTTCTAGTTCTTGTTTCTGTTCAGCTTTATGAAACACGCTTTGAATCACTTTTGAGTCATTCTTGATACAAGCTGCATCGCAATATGGAATATATGTGGGTTACTGACGTTTAGTGAACCACTTTGTCAGCCGAAGATGGAGCTGCTAGTGTGCGTCTGACTTTTGCTACACCCGGGCTACTTTTGATGACAACAAATTCACTCTGGTGAACAGTCATTACTCAGCCGGAAGCTCAATCGAATAATCAATACTGCATATTGGGCAAAAATTATTCGGCTGTCATGCGCGCACCCAACATTCTGGTTTCGTCGAACCCCCTCCGTTGAAAAGAAGCCTAACGGGTTCAAACTAACCCTCCCTGCGACGGATGTTGCCAGGGTTGTAACTCGGTCTGCGGATGATTCTGTGGTCATTACAAAGCCTGCAACGCGATACCACTGGTTTCTCCACTGTAGAGCTAATGAAAATATTTGTTGGTCATAGGTTGCGTCTGTTGATTCTCCTAATGAAAATAATTCGGGATATTCTTGGTGTGGAGTGTCGTGATTTCATTCGGCAGTGTATTCTCACGTAGGTCTTCACCGCCTGTTTACTGAGTTTTTCGCTTGGGATGTGAACAGTTACACCTGTTCTGTTCTTTATTCTATGCTTACTCCAAATTGTCTACGGATGCGTTTTCCACCTTTTTGTGAAGCTTTCCGAATGGAATCGCCAATGTTCTTAAGGAGTCGCGTTTGATGCTATACAACCCCTTGCCTGTGATCTTATCATTGAAACAATTCAAGGCGCGTGGGTGGCGCCATTCTTGGCTCTACTGTGGTAACTATTTCAATGAACGGAACAGACAGCGGTTGATGTACCTTTGAAGTTCACCGCTTGTAAGATGTGTAAATTAATGCCACCCCAATTAGTGAACAAGCATTCAATCAAAAATCGAATGAACTACTCAATAGAACGTATGGATCTTTAGTGCGACAGGGCAGCCATGTCCCTAATCAACTGGGTTAAAATCTGCCTGCCGTTTAGATACAATCGGAACCTTCAAAAATCGTTTATAAAACTGTCCGGCGAACTTATCGATCGATCACCAGCTACCGAAGTTTATGTTCAGCACCGCATTTCGCAATAAGAGAGGACTTTCCATTTATATCATATGCACAGTAAAAGTCTAAGGTTTGTTCGCATTCGTGTTCTCTTAGCGTCCGTGACATCAGTCGCAGAACACGGCCACTGGCAAATGAATATCTCACTGTGGGCACCTATCGTATGATGATTAATGACGGCAAACAAGTTATATCGAGAAAAAAGTTTCCTTCCGTTGCGATATGCGAATGAGCTTAACACCTCTAGCTTAGTAACGATATGCTTCTAGCTTTCAGTTTGTGAGCAACTAGTTAGTCGTTGAACAGCCCGGAATTCATCCGTGTGTCTCTGCTTCTCACAGCTCGCATCGTTCAGAATTGTCATGTGGCATTTGGGACCTACTTTTTGCAAGTAATGATCCCTTCTTGGTAGTGGAACCGCATGTCTAAAACAAGATGGTAGACTCTAGAAAGGTGGTCGTTCCTTCGGCTGAATCTCAACGTGTGGCCTTCGTGAAATTTTCCCTCCTTGTCGGCACTGCATCATTATCGACCGGCGTGTTTTTCTCTTGTGTCAACTCCCCAGAGCATCATTAGTGTTTCATCCCGGTTAGTTGCCGCTGAAGTCAACTGTGATGCGCCGCTTAATTTAGTTTGAGTCCGAATGGCGTCCCTTAGGAACACCGCACAAAATATATGGCAGCACATCGTCTAACATGGTTCCCATTACTGTTGAATTTTCCCATGTGATCCAACAGTAGCTTCCAACGTCATCAAGCGTGTATTTCATAAGCGTCACCGTGGTGTGACGGTTTGCGCCCCTCAGCGATCCATTGAGCTATACTGGAGAGTGTCCCGCGACACTCACAGAGTCTCTCCTACCAGGTTGGTCAATGGTTAGAGGTCTGACGAACAGTCTCCTGGCCGTTCAGGTTGGGGGTTGGAACATGTGGCGACTTGTTCCGTAGAAATGGTAATGCATTTGCATTTCCCGCCAAACACCGCTGCCTTGCGGTTAGGCTTTTGAGCCAAAGGCTTTGGTTGAGGACCCTAATCATCCTCCTGTCTAGGTGTGGGCGCCCTGTCAGTATTACAGCCCACGTACAACCATAAACTGCACACACACGAATAAACTCATACCACATCGGCCGTCGCGTGGTGCCATCTACGGCAGTGAAGCATCGGTGTTGAACACTGATGTCATACTGTCGATGATGATGATGTTTATGTACTGCATAGTGTATTTGCTTCGTCTACCTTGCGTCCTGCGACCTCTGAATGTGCACTCAGATCCTGTCTGACGTGTGCCGTAGCTCATTGCCACAACTCCAAGGGATATTACAATCTTTCGGTGATCTTTTGCGTGCTAACAAAATGTTTTTGCCTTGCACTGAGTGTGTATTCTCAATATCCCTTTTCTCAGCAACAATCAGAGATGGATGACGATAGTGAAGATGAAGGAGAGGATGAAGAAGAAATGGATACTACCTGCTGGAGTGATGATAACGTTGAGCAGATACGATCCGACCTACCTAACCCATGGATTTCCCCTCTAAGTAGGTGTCGTTCACTAACGGTTCAGTGTGTAAAACTGTTTTTTATCTTCATACTTCATCAGATGTTTTAGTTGCCTCTATGTAATATTAGCTTCTCTTGACTCCGGTAATCTTGAAGCCTGTCCCTTTGTACGCTTTCAAACTGATCGTCCGAATGACCTGATATTGATGTCGACGCCAAGGGATGGATGATTTCTGTCACCAATGGTTACAAGATGGAAGCCTTAGATAGGCCTAAAGTACGTCCTCGGCACTATTGGCGTTATTAATGGATTCTTGTTCTTCTGTGTAGGCAGCCAAGGCCATAGCTTTGAGAATGAGATGTTGCGTACGCATACTTTTCTGTCTTAGCGAACAAACTGTTCTCTTTTAGGAAGCGTCTTTCTTGAGAGACAGTTCTAGTTCAAATAAATTACCAAGCAATTCGATCTCTTGAATTTTGTTTCCACCAGCTGAGGCGGACTGGTGTAGCACATTCTGTTGCTTGAAAACATCATAATGAGAGATTCAGCTGGATTATAGGTGAGTCGAAACCAAACTGGTATGCGAATGAGTGTATTTCGCTAATTTCCTAAAATTAGGGTTCAAGTAGAACATAAGGTTGATGAACACTCGGGGACTGCGCCTGCTTGACGAGCCCCAAGAAGGGCAAAACCGGTCGTGAGTTGTTGAGGAGTTTTCAGCAACCTTGTGATTAGTATATGGCTACTCAATTCTTCGTTATTAGCGTCGAATCGCCACTGATTTTGCTTTATTTCATCTCTGTTCTAGTTTCTGAATCGAACTGCGCCGGCGATCCAGGTGAAGCTACGGAACAGTTTTGCGCCCAGTTCATACTACGTTACTGTGGTGATGGAGAGACACAAGTCCCACCCTTTATCACCGGTAGTCTGGACAGTGCGCTGGCTGCCTCTGTGAATAAATCTACCGTGGCTGGGGTAAGCACCGTTTTCTGCTTTTTAAAAGGCTTGGATTTTTGTTAGTATGTGGCTGTCTCAGTAAAGAATAATCTTTCAGCTGTAAAACTCTTTCGGTGCCTAGCCGCCACGCCACTCGAAGCAAGAACGAGGTCGGAATCGTTCTCTCTTCAGGTTAACTTTTCTCCATAGACGGGTTTTCAATCCTACAGATCTACTTATTCTAGTGGACTTCATTACAAAGAAACAGACAACTTTATTGTTTCACCTATTCGGTAGGTGCACCTTTGTAATTCTGTGGAATTTCAGTCCGTGGAATACCTCATTTTATCAGTTATTTGACTAATCACTGTTCATCATCTGTATTTGTGCGGAAAGGATAGAAAGGCGAAACTGTTATGATTTCTTTATATGCATGCGTTTGCGTCGTAGCACATTCATTACTTTTGTTTGGAACCTCAACGTTGCACCCCTTCTCTCCCGAAATGCGTTTCCTACCTTTACACTACTTCTGTTACTTGTTTTCTGTTTCAGCGCAAACCACTTTTCCTCTACCTACATCATGATGCAAGTGTCGCATGTCACTTGTTTTGTCAACGGGTCCTCTGTTCTACCGGCCTTGTTCGTTTCCTCGGTGACAACGACTTTTCTGTTTGGCCTTGGGACGTGACAGTCCCACGTGCCAAGGATCGCCTTTTGGGTTGGCTCAAAAGCAAATTGCCTGGTCTCGTTGGTGTACTATCCCCTCTTACGGTACGGTTGTCTCTTTGTTTACTATGTTTTTTTTTGTATTAGAGTGTAAATGGAACTTGAGATACCTTTATCAAATCCGTATGAAATCAATGCGTTTACGCCTAGTTTAAGCTTTTGTATCAACCGATGTGGCTCAAAGTAGCTGCGATGCCCTCGGGAGGATTGCGCTTTTGTACAGGCTGCACCCCGATAAACCGATAATGTAAAGCTCTTATTCCCCACTCGATGTTTGTTGATGACTTACTTGAACCACTCTCTCGTTGAACGAGCCGTAGTTTGACTCCTGCGGCCGTTGTGGGACAGTGCGGTTAGCGGGACTTTCTCCTTTCGTTTCATCTCACCACAGAAACCCACAATGCAAGGTAATTCAGGTTTGGTCAGTTGGCACCCATTTCGGCTATCCTAAGAAGAGACTACACGCGCTCCCACTCACGTCCTTTTTACGATGCACCCAATGGCGCACTGATGATGTCTCCTTAAATGGTGACGAGAGTGTGCAAGTCAGTTTCCAAGTTCGGCGAACAGGTCAACAGCTACCTGGTTAATTGACAATAAATGCACCCAATCTGCCAATATTTCCAACACATCTGCTTTTTACTGGTACTTGGGAGTCCTCTTAAACCGATTTCTTAGCGCAATCGATCGAGGATTTTCTCGTCTAACGTCTTTACCGTTACCTTAGGTTTATTTTTTTACCATAAGTCTGGCGTTATTTCTTAGTACAACACCACTTTGCATGTAAATGGTTGATCATTTGAAGAAATAATCCGAAATTAATTATCGCGCGTTGGTCGAACTGTTTGTTTCAGATATCATTCTCACCCTTCTGGAAAGCGGTGCTTCGTTTTACGGTAATCGCATTTTCCTTTCCTAGGTTGACAGCTACCCCGTGCTGGCTATGGTCGGCAAACTCGCTGGTCAGTTAGAGGTGTTATGCACAGTCCTGGGCACTGGAGCTGTCGTCGGCCCGCAGCCCAAGCCAGTAGACGAGTCCGGTTTCCCTTCCTTGGATATGTCAGGCGTTGAGACGATGGTACCCCTTTCCGGTGTAGCTGACGGTGTTTTGAAGTCAGACACTATTGTGGCTGCTCTATGGCAGGCTTACACTAGCTATTCGGAATTACTTGCCCCGGAGCAAGCTGCAGAAGAGGAGCGGCTTGCCCGACAGCGAGTTATAAAGGAGCAAGAACAAGCATATCAGGAATCTTTGCGTCTTGATCGGATGAAAGTATGCACTTTTCTGTTCTGTGCTTGTTCCTTTGATTCCAACATGTATTCTGGTCAACCGTCTCATTATCAAGATAATTCATCTCTTGCTTTGTGTGTGTTCCGTCTGTGTGGTAACAGCTGTTTCGAGAACAATTCCGTGCTCTTACAAAGGCTGTACCTTGTACATAGCGTACAGGTGACCCATGGCCATTGCACTTCTAACACATCTCCCTATCGTCATGGAGTTAGTCACTGTTTTATATATGGCACATTCGAGCCTAGCGACCAGAAGTTCGTACGTAATCTGTTTATTCTCATTATACCGATGTTTTAACCACTCCGTGGACAAAGTACACATTTAATAGATCTTACAGTTTTCCATAAAACGTTTTCGATTGATTCGCGAACCTTCAAAAGTAGTCACAATTCTGTGAGTCCTCGCCATATACTTGATCGCTTAGAATGTAGCCTCATTTCAGAGTGGAATGCCAATGGTATCGACAATATTTTCTCTATTTAATAGACGCTCTCGCTCAGCTTGACCATAATGTATGTTCTGTCAACTTCGTTATTATCAAGTTTCCATCTGGTTAATTTCTCTGGAAACTTCACGTTTGATGTTTTCGTGCGAGACTTCTTACGTGGTCTTCCTGCTCACAACATTGCTGAAAATCGTCTTGATCTCCGATGCCTTTCAAGTAAACACCAGGTGGTTGCTAGGTCTAGTCCGTCAATTATATAAGCCATCATTCTTGAAAAAAGCACCCACACAGATCAACCACTGGTACCCACAACGTGACTTTCATCTCTGTACAAGCAACCAGGTATCCTATGCCTTTAAGATGCGACCCTTGAGAACGGCTCGATCGCAGTATTCAATGGGTTCTTCCAGGCTAGTTTATTTTGGTTTTTCGGCTACAGTCTGCGAATGAAAGTGAATTACACGTTTCTTCGGAGATTTGATGGTCCACTGTGACCAACAACGGAACTGTAGATGATGAGATTACAAATTGTCCTCTTCCTAGCCTCCTTGCCGTAGGCATTTTCGCATCTGCGTCTGTACTTCTCATATTTCAACAAAATATGATAAATAAGGTTTTGAATTTTGAATATGCAAAGCGCACGTCGCAACACGGATCGAATTCTGAGACCTCTTTTTTGATTAATCTGCGAGGACCACCTTAACCAACTCCACTAGGTGAGAAGAAGCTTTTGGATAGTTCATTATACACCTTAACCTGACTGGAAGTAATTAGATACAGGACTCGAAGAACGTTTGCTAACGTCAAGGATATCTTTTTCTGGCCAAGGACACCTCGAAGAGCCAGTTTCTCCACAGAATCAAAGGCTTTTAAAGAAGAGTACAAACGCCATTGTTGGTCGATGGTGTATAGCGCTTCTCAAGTACTTGACTTAATGTAAATATATGATCAATACAACCCCTGCTAGGTTGAAATCCAAAATGATGCACTCACGGAATTGTATCTCATTTGCTAAAGATAGGTGTCGCAATAAAAGCGAATCCAGAGGCCGTCTTACGACAGGCGTGAGATCCACATCTCTGGTTGGAACGGCTTGATCAGACACCTGTTTTGAGGACGGGTATGAGCACGGAACGATCCCAGTTTTCTGAAACACATTCTTTTAAACTACATACAAGTAAACCAGTCAAGGCAAAACACATCGATTCTTGTGCATCTTTGAATACAGTCGCAAAAAGCTCATCTGGTCCGGGAGTGCTTCAAGGTAGAAAGGCGTATTAGTACACCAGAATCTGGGGGCCTAAAATCACAAATAACGAATATAAGGTGGTCTCAAGGACAGAGTCAACTAAGCTGTTGTTGAAAATATTCCTCCCGGTGACCTAGACGCTGTTTTTTTTATCATGTACTGGGTTTCCAGTATTAAGTTTGATTCACTTAGAAAGGGCCTTGTTGGTCCTGTTTTGCGGGTTAGCTTCCATGGATTGCTAACGGAGTGACCTAGTGGCCTCCTCTATTTCTTGAGCTTCCGAGTTTCACCTCGCCTCTGTCCATACAGGCTACCTTGAACATGTTGTCCAACTGATCGTCCAGTCGGATTATACTATGAGTCAGAAGTGAGAGAATGCCTGGCATCAAATATTGATAATCATTCTGACATTCAACTAATGTTAGATACTATCAAAGTCCTTTTCCGAGGCTGCTAATAAATCACTCCGTGGTAAGCTGTGGTATGTTTCCCCAGCTTGTTCTTCATAAAGCTTTTTACTGCTAAATGGGATTGAAGGAGGGGGGACCTAATGAAAATTTAGGGGTGCGGCCCTAATCACCACGTGCATCCCAAAATGATGGGCAATCAAGGGCTGAACAGCATTATCGGGAGTTGATGGCGATGTGATCCATTTGACTCCAACACTTCTCAACAGCACAACGCCCTTTGCTTCTTAACCGAATATTGCTGATCAACAACCGGTGATCAGTAATGAATCGCAAAACGTTCAACACCACCAATGCATGAGTCTGACAAACTGAGGCATCCTACCTGTCCATTGAAATCCCCTGTTATTATGATTGTATTCCAACTCTTCATTTTTGAGAAAACGGTTACCAGTTCTCAATAGAAGGTCTTTTCCAACGAATCAGGACGGAATTTTCGTTCATCCATAAATGGGTACAGCAAACAAAGGACTGAATATTTCGGCCAGTGCGAGTTTTCATCGAAGTGTGAGAGCGCAGAATCAGTGGTGTATGACTATCCAGTCTAGTAATGAAGCATCGGCTCGCAAACTGAGGGCTACACCAACGTCGGTGCAGTCCGTTGCAGCAGCTGCACGACCACATGGAGTTTGAAGAGCGTTCTGCAAGCTCAACAACCGTACATATATCTTATATTCGAGATTCAAAAAGGCGACAGACCATTAAATTATGTAGACTACGTGCAAGAGGAGCGTATCGACCAAAGTGCCTGAGAGTTCGTACGTTAAGGGTTGCGATAAAAACGGGAAAATGATGCGTAGATGGCGGATGGAGTGTGGTTAGACAGAAGGTGAGTTAAGAGGTTATAATGGACACAAATGGGAGGCGTCGGTAATCGCATGTTTTTGCCTATTCGCCATACTGTATGGAGCAAATAAGGTGGTCTAGCCGAAAGCACCAGGTAACGGGCGATCTTACACGAAATTGCACTACCTATTTGTATGTAGGCTGCAATGCTGCCAAGAGGCCAAATCTTTGCGATTAGAGTCCTCAACTAAAACTAAAACTCAGAGGCCTGGCTGCCGGGCAGTCGTGGTCGGCGTGAGACTGCGTGAGTCGCACACATTTTAAGGGACAAATTAGTGCAGGTGTTCCAGCACCCAAGATGGAAGGTCAGGAAACTGTTTGGCACAGTCTGTTGGTAGACCCAACAGAGGACACTGGGCGTTCAGTGGTTGTTCTCCAGTATGCCTTTGGGGGCTGTGGGGGTACGTACTACAGCCTCTTTGCGACGGTTGCCAAATGTGACATCGTTCGAGAATATCACCAAATCACTGATATAGTTAATCGGATTTCGACAAATCTTATTTTCACCTATCAGTTTCTGTCATACTTCCTTCAACATGTTTGCTGTACTTTTCCCTCGTACCCACTCAGGTTGAGGCGGCTGAAAAAGAGCGTCTTGAGCAACAACTACTGGAAGAACAACGAATGCACGAAAAGTACGAAGAAGAACAACGTCGTCTGCGAATGGTGGCTACTCTTCCCCCCGAACCACCGGCTCCAAATAGCCTAGCAGCGGCTGCTTTCTTAGCGTCACCCAAAGGCACCGGTGGAATCGCTTCACTCCGTTTCCGGCTACCGCGTGATGTTTCATTGGATAAAATAGCGAGTGCTAAAAATGGCCTGATTACGCGTCGGTTTGCTGGACTGGATCAGTTGAAGCACGTCTTTGCCTTTATGGAATCTCAGGGTTTCCCACGAGTTCAGTACAAATTGCTAACCACCTACCCTCGAAGAGATGTATGTTCCTTTGATCGGTTTTTGGTCTATCTTTTTTAACGTGCGGCTTTAGTAATCGACTTAACATTATATCCGAATCTATGTCACATCGGACTTAATGGGGAACACTTTTTAGTTCGCTGAACGTATGACCGTGTATCGCGACGTGGGTAGCCTCGTCTGGATGAAGTGGGGCCATTGAGGACTGAAACCAGAGCTGTGAAAATCTACCTTGTTCGTAGAACTCTTATAACCAATCGCTTGCTTAAATTTTCCTACCCTCAATTACTGTTCTAGGGGAATCAGACTTCACCTTTGATTGGCAATGAATAATCGTGAAATATCATAACTTGATTGACATTTACCGAGTTGCGGTATTCTGATCTCTGTGCTCACTGGATAAATGTTTATCTCACACTATTTAGCCGGCGAAGCCGCGCTGGAATATTTTTTGGTTGGTGCTTTGTATTTCATAATTCTGTTTGCTCCTTTCGGAACCAAGTGCGTATGTCCTGTGATATTAATTTGTTCAAATTGGCGCGCTACGTTTCTGTTAAGAGGCCAGAAGTACAAATGAATTCGGTTGTTAACATCGTTGGAATTTGCTAAGGTTCTCACTATGCCCACGAACTATTTCATCCAATTATTATTAATTCTGTTACTGCCTCCTGGTTTTCTTCCTGGACGTACACCACGCGTGGTATTTTTTTAACTTAAGAACCCAGATGCACGTAGATGGGGAAAAATTCTCCGCACAAACTTTCGAAAACTTTGCTTCCGGAATTTGCTGTTTCCAAGGCACCTGAATTCAGGTCCGTTTCAGATTTTTCAGGCTTATTCACAAAAGAGCTTTCATGTGCTATCTCCGGAGGCCATCAAGTGTCCGCCTCCGGTGAGGTGTTGATGTCATTCTGGATGACGAGGCCGAAACAGCACTGTCAGACTTTATCCCCGTCGACAGTCTACTGTTTGAGGTGCTATACATGTAGGAAACGAGGCAACACAGTGTTTTGAATAGTGTTTGTATTTATCCGGGCTGATTGTAGTCTGGATGCAGTCGAAAGTGACTACTTGTGGCACCCTCACGAATTCGGAAGCCTCCAAAATCAGACAGTTTTATTCTGAGACCCGGGCTGGCGAATAAAAAACAACAGCTTGATTAAGTTTCGCTGATCCGTTAAATCAGAAAGTTTTTGTTTGGACAGCCGGAAATTTGGGCTGAGATCTAAGCTGGAGGTAGCTCACTGGTTAAGGTGCGAATTTACTAATCGGAAAACCTGTGGTTTGATCCCAACCTCTGCATCTCTGCCACTCTTGTCTGGGCTTGTGCAACCTGACAGTATCACAACCGTCCTGCTTTCTTTGGGTGGCATGGCGACTACGCACCAAAATATTGTTTGCTATTTTTTTCTGCTGAGGTTAGGTCCAGACCACCATCTTTGTCAAAAATATAAGCTTTCGTTAGCAGTTGTCGCTTTGCATTTTGTTCCCCTTTTTTCTTAACACGCTTGTGAATCGCGGTTAACTATTAATGCTGAACTTACGCACACGCCTCTTGGTCATACCAAACCAATTGTGTAGGCTGACCACTCATCAGCTGGTGTAAAAACGTCTCGAATGGACGCGCATCATCATCATCATCATCGACAGCATGACATCAGTGTTCAACACCGATGCTTCACTGCCGTACAATGGACGCGCAGAAACAATATTGAAACCTTCATATCCTACTCATAGGGCTGATGAAAATTCTTAAAAATATCATAACCGAGAGATTCAGCTGGGTTCCAGGTGAGTCTCTCGCTAAACAAAATTGGTTTCAAAATGAGTGTATTTTGTGACCAACTAACAGAACCTCCTGCGAACGTATTAAACTCCCCTACCTGACTGTCCAGTTGGGCACCGTCAAATACCAGTGCAGTGCGCTGTTCATTGCACTAATCCAAATAACCGCGATCTGACTGAAGTTCACGGTTCTTTCTAGTAACCTTTTGGCACACGTTATTTTCTACCACCCGGCAGCTTGCATGAAGAAGCCCGCCATTCTTTAAGGGGTCAAATTAACATAAGTTGGCGAAAAAAAAACTGTGAAAACGACGGTCTCTGTTGCGAAGGCCCTCGATGACGTATGTTTAACCGCTTAGGTCGCTTATATGCTTATATGATGCTACTGTCAATGAAGATGGTACATTAATATGCAGCCTCCAGTCCATGGAGGTCACTGAATCCCATACGGAAACACGTCCATGGGGCAGTTCAGTGCACAAGAGACGGAATTATTGTTTTTATGAGTACCTTCAGATGCGATTTCTGATTTGCACTTTTATTCTGATTTTTTCTTATTTCCGGTTGCAGCATAGCTTGAGTTTCGAACTAACTCACGGAAAACAGTTTGCCACATGATTTCAGATTATTCCGTTCAACGTGAAAGTTGTGTATTCCGTACTATAACGACTTTTTATCTGTCGGTTGTCCATTCACAGCTTACGGCCCTCGATGAGAACGCTACAATGGCTGATCTGAAGCTTGTACCTCAGGAAACACTAACCATCGAGGAGCGGTAACGCTCTAGTCATGTCTGCCTTCGCGGCTCACAACTCATCTGTGTATACAACTCTCCTTCATGGCTGTGATCACTCTTTCGGCCTTCAACCCAAAACTGCATCAGTACTGTTCACTGTCACCAGTCGTCTCTTCGGTATTTTATACTGTCGAACTTTACAGATTTACAAACTGCGCTGTTTATTAATCCTCGAACGTCATGTGACCGATGTAGCTAACTACGGTCGTTCATCCATGCCGCTGTCTTTTCGACCACTAGCCTATCCCCTCTTTCTGTGCCAGCCACTCGCAACGTTTTGCACTTTTTTTTAGCTGTACACCTTGATAACCTTGGCCTTGTCAGGCTCCGTTTTTGTCTCGTTTGCGTGACCCGATTTCCGTCGCCCTAGTTTCCCTTGCTTGGTTATGTGTCTGCCCTCGCCTTGCTACTTTATTTCATCTTTCGTTCTCTCCATGGTGTTTGCTTACTGTCTATTGCGTTGTCGTGACAACGTCTTGTGGGTCCTTGTGGAGTCGCCAAGCTCTAGCCATATGAACTCCGCTTATCAGTAACTGGGTCAGAAACAAGCAGGTTTTGTTCGCAAGTCGTTATATTAATCGATTTTAACAGTAACTCAAGCTGATAGGCACAAGCTTTAAACTGGCACTAACAAAAGAGTTGAGCCTTAATCAGTGTCAACGGATTACTGCAGGTAGCATTGTCGGGCCGCTCCAGTGAATGAAGCAAAAGCCAAGGCATCGTTAAACGCATTGCTAGTCTTATTGGCTCGTTATCCTTCTTCAGGAGTTGATTTCGATCACGGCTTTACCTCGACTCTTCCCGGAAAAATGAGTCGGCTCCAAAAATACCTGGGATCGTTGATGGCCATGAAACACATTCCAATTACTGCCCCACTACTTGTCACCGTAGACCATTTGCAGACCAAGTAGTTCAACCTCGGCATTGACTAGGCTACCGTGTTTTCAATTGCGTTCCGTTGTGACTGCTCCATTCGGAGCGGAACGGTGATAACAGGAAGAATGGTCATTTCGGAGTTTAGTTTGCAGACGACGTTTCCCAGCTACTATAGTTTATGTCGCTGAATCAATTTGGTGAGCCGTAGGATGTCATAACGATGGTCACTGACATCAGCGTTGCAGTTCAAACGTATTTTCAGAATTCTCTTGAAGTACCAATCGTCGAAGACCGACTGTTCGGAGAATCAGGGCCTCACAGACGTATTCGAATGGGTCGAACGGCCTTACCTTTCTTACGAAGGTTGATCGCCGGGCGTTTCACTTATGCTGTGTGGAGCTGCATGAACATCTTTTGGCTTTATCGATGTGAACATCTGTTGCCGTGCGTGGCCACTTGGTAGGATGATAGAGCCCAAACTCTTGAAGAAATCCGCCTGGCTTATGGGCTGTCGAAAGTCCATGCTTCTGATTGAGAACTTAGTATCGTAAGAATTATTTCCAGTCCAAGCAACGAAGCGTAGCGACTGATAAAATCAAGGATAGGTTGCATTTGCGTCGGACGTACGCAAGATGGCGCTGTTTGCGACGTAACTTAGTCCCGGGGTCCACGTGATATGGCTTATTGGTACTTCACGGAAGCCGCCGAGTGCGTCGGACATTATTCAGTCAAGCGCACACTTGAAAAATGAAAACTGGATAGGCTTGCCAAACACCTGAGTTTAATGCAAATGCCCTTACCTCCTACCCATATACTCATGTGAGAGTTCTTGAGCCTGAATGGTAGGGTATGCTAAGGTTTAGCAGTTTATTTGGCGTATCACCAGGTCTCAAGACGGATCGAAGGCATTCCCTATTGTATAAACCAAATGCTGCACGGAAACAAATGAAGCATGTGGCGTTACGGAAACTTGCAGAGTTATTCAAAACACTAGCGTGAATGTTTGGTCAGCTGAACCTCTTCCTGTGCAGACCCCCTCCCTAAATCGATCTGATTTGAGACTCTAGGATAGTAGTGTGGTTAATTACTGGGCTGCGATATATATCAGGCTGATATTCCAGTAGTTCTCACAAACCGTGCTGTCACCAATTTCTTTTCGGTAGCAGTATAAAGGCACCCCAATCCACTAGCAACACTTCGGCTTTATATATTGAGCAGAAAGGGCGGTAATGATGTGATGGCATTGACAGGGGGTCGTAGTTGATACATGGTGTGAATTTTGTAGTATCTGTGGTGGGTAGACCGTGTCGTGACGGATGATTGAGAGGTGGGTTGGATAGCTGAGTCCACCTCTTCAACCTTCTCCTTATTCTCTTGATCGTCAGCGACTCAAAGATGACTTCTGGTCTTCCACTCGGCTTGAAGCGCGACTAGTCAGTTAGAATAGATGCAAATAATCAGTAAAATTTGCAAATGTCTCCACATCAGAAGGCATTTCGGAACAAGGTTCGATACGGTCCTTCTAGGATGAGGGGTCGGCAGGGCGACATAAACTGCAAAAGTCGGAGGTGTTTGTGACGTGGTAGGTTGCTGGGAAAGGTAGGTGGTCCGTTCGGGGATTCGATCTTTTTGGCGTCGAGATTTAACTCCAACATTTTATTCGACGAACATTTGTACTGACGTCTTTAGACGTAATCAGGACTTGTTGAACTTGGGGAAGTGGCAACTTATCGGCAAACTGGCTGGTAGTAGCATTCGAGAGCCAATTGCACTTTTCAGAATCTTCGAGGCTCACGTTTATCCATTCTGGATGTCGTAGTTTGTGTCGGGTGGTAAGTTGCAGCTTGAACCTTGCGCATACAAGGCAATGACCTGGACCGCAATGATTCCGTGCATGTTCCACGGTAACATTTCGTCTTCAGCAGACGACACCCATCAGACTGTCAGCATGATATAGTCCCTCCGGAAGGCATTGCAGTCGTCAGCAGAATACCGGGTGAGAGGAGGACTCCTAGGATGCTGGAAATGTTGGGTACCGCGAACCGGCTGAAGGTGTTTAATCGACTATCGTTTTCACATCATAGTGTTAAAGAGAGCTGTCCCAGTATCCGACAGGTGATTGATGCCCCAGTTCTCGTGCTCCAGACGTCGGTAGCCATCAGGAAGTCACATTTAGGTGCATGATTAACTACTCTTTGTAGCTCATTGTAGAGACCATCCTTGATGAGGAGATCCGGCCAAATACGTATGAAAGCACCAGTACGTTCACAGAATCAAAGACTTCCTTGAAGCTTCATTCTTTTTTAACCATTAAAGGAACAGATCTACTCGAACAGGCGGCATCAAGAGTTTCTGGTGATCAGTGTTTTGAAACATTGCATTCATTTGATGTGGGCACCAGAGTGGTAATTGAGGTGGGCTGAATGGGAGAATGGACATTCACCGTCGGTGGACTAATGCGATCGGGTCACTTGTTGCGAATGCCTCAGGACTGTCTGTCTTGCATTCCTTTCGTCCAATCATGTTCAGAATGGAAAAGGTCCAGGGGACTTCAGACCATGACGTTTCAGCTATATTTACAGTCTATTGCTAGCAAACTCCGCACGGACGGCATTCACCTTGAGACGCACCGCCTCATAGGTTAGATGAGCTGACAAGTATATCTCCGTCGCACCCTGACTATTGCGTCTGAGATTGTGCGTTCAATGCATTGCTTGACTTCTTCGTTGAGCTCCGCTCAACAGGGACATGCTTAAACCCGTTTTAGGTAATGCATTACAGAGTTCTATGAAATCGTGTCCTACAGACCCGACAAAACTGAACCAGGAGACGTAGCAAAGTAAGATACTGCCTGAGAACAATGCCCGAAACCAAAACGAGCACGGGTCCCGAAGAGCAGCTTAAAATTCAAAAGTAATGATATTTCATTCCACATCAAACGTCAGTCGTGCGCAATACTAAGCCAGCGCACCACATCTGGATTGTGTCGAGCAAACCACACGTCTTGATCTCATTCGGGTAACCTTCAGTTAACCTGTGGGCACAGATTAATAAGCTAAACACAGAGGCATCTCGGATACATTCACAAGTATATAAATGGCACCAAACCTTCAGAAATGACACCTCAGAAGTTTCACTGCAATACGTGAAATACCCATATCAGTTGGTCGTCATATCTCTCCTTAATTTTCTCTCGCTCTTCACTGAACTCTATGACAAATACAGGTTTGCTTTCTCATACAGTGAACCAGTCTGTTTTTCTGTCTCCAATCCCTACTTATAGATAAGTCACGAGACTATGTCGATGATTGATTTAGCCAACCACCGACACCAGATAATCACGTGGCTAGTTTCCACACGAATTGTTCGTCCGTGTCTGCTTGATCCATATGCAAAACGCAGGTGTGTTTGGGCATTCTTGGTTGTTACCCCTCGAGAATATTTGGAGAGCTGCAATTGGAATTTCTCGCCACCAGACATCCCACCACCGGGGTTCCATTTCTTCGCACATTGCTGGAACAGAATATCTGCTCACCTCTGTAGCGAAACAGTCGGTGGTAACATGAAATTCTTGAGGAAGTTTATAGGAGGAGATGGCCCAAGTGGTTAGAGCGCGAATTTGCTGACCGGAAGGTCAGTGGTTCGAACCCGACCTCAGCCTCTCAAATTCCCCTGTCTAGGCTTCGGCGACCTGGAAGTACCCCAGACCTCGTGCAACCTTCGGATGGCATGGCGGTTAGTCACCGAAAGGGGGCTATGGCTGAACGAATTAGGTCTGTTTCCTAAAACATTTCAATTTCCGGTAAAATATAACCCATTAGGCAAATGGGAAACCGCACCCACAGTTTGGTGCCTACGATATTCTCCTTTAAGTTTATGTGATATTAGGATTGATCAACAGTGCACCTGAATCTGACGCTCGAGCTAACCAAGCAGATTAGTGCCCCCCTTGTTTTTCTTTAGAAAATCAATAATAATCATCGTTGTGACTGTTAGAATGAAGTAACTTGTTGTAACGTATTAGCCTTGGTGTCCGACATTCTAACACAGTGGCTGGCATAATAAAACGAATCCAGTTTAGGTCTGCACAAAATGATGGGCCAAGTCTGCGTTTCATCAAGCATGGTTTTTCTTGGTTTCTGGTAAGAACCGATGTGATAACACGCCTGCCAGAGTCTGTTCCAGGAACCAGGAATTGGACCGTTCACTGGATATATCTGCCCGAAAAGTAATACCACTGTCTTCGACAACGTATCGTAATGTGCAAGCTTCATCGTGCAAGTGGAAATGAAATTGGCGCAGTTATATGCGTAAATAACGCCCCTTCGTAGAATATGCCGTTGTTACTTATCCTTGTGTATTGGTTGACTTATTTTCTGGCTAACGAACAACGGTCTGTAATTCTCGCGGTATAGATGTCTGACGGTTGGTAATTTTTAAAACGACGAACATAAAACGAAAACCGGAAAAGGTAACGCTAAGCCCTTGTGAAACGCGAGTGCTGTAATTATGATCTAAATTACGTTTCTGTGATGTGTGCCATCACCATC